AGGCAAAAAGACCCAAAGATCTCAGTAGCTGCTCAGTGTTCCGTAGCTCGCAATGAAGAGCTTTCCAGCTTTAAAAACAAATAAATACAACAAATAAAAAAAACACAACAACAATCCAACATACACATCTATTTAATAATGCATATAATAGTAATTATGTATTATGAATGCAAGTATTTAAATTAAATGATTTTTAAAAAATCAAGCAGTGCCTTGGATGTGATTACCGCGGTAATATTATCATTACTTCTTAATGAGTTTTATAAAGTCATTTATAACACAGCCCAATTCTGTTGTGTATCAGTTTGATCAATCAGWCTTTACAGCTAGTTTTAGAGCAAACGCATGGAAACCATGAAATAAAACCAAACTAAATACTAACAAATAGYTGCTATTTAGAGACAAATTGTCAGTGTCAATGAACCAGAATTCAATCAAGTTGAATAGCTGATTTACGAATTTTGCTTCAGTAGTCAAACACAAAAGAATCAAGACRAGGCACTGTGCGTAAATCTCAGTCAGTTGCGAAAACTATTGTCTTTTCACAAATGACTGAGCTTAATGCATGGCGCCTCGTATTCATTCCTTTGTGTGCGATGTTTGAAAACTTGCAAGTCGGCTATTAAAAATGGTCCCATGTGGATTCCTTTTCATTATGTTCTGGTTCATTGATACTGACAAATTGTCTCTAAATACCTGCTATTTGTTAGTATTTTTTTTTTTTGATTTTATTTCATGGTTTTCTGCATTTCCTCTATACTATATCTTTTTTTATACAAATGTCACATATAACTTTCATTTATGACTGCTCATTGAAGGAGTATATTACAGAGCTTTGATGATAAAACCAATGAAAATTATATATAACTGTTAATTGATCTGTTGTTACAACCAAGCCTTGAGATGTTGGCCAGGGAAATGCTAGGATTGAAGTCATGTTCACCAGTTAACATTACAAGGCAGTGTTGTTGACAATTATGACATTCATTGACTTTTAATATGATTGAATAAAATAGTGCAAWTTGGTTGGCTTAGAGGAGAGTTATTTATACTTAATAGTGGTATTTCACATTGCACAATTTTGTTCAACCATTTTATAAACAAATATAGAATTTTTGTACATAGAATTTGGGATAAATACCACTTGTGATATTTCAAAATTGTCACAAATTTTGCTTATCTTGAGAATTTTTGTTTGACAATTTGAAATACCATGCGTGGTATCTATGTATCCCAAATACCACTACAAAACATGCTATTGCCTGTACAAATATTCATATTTTTTTCTGAGGATAAATTAAAGACACACTTTCTATCAAATAATATTTTTCACAATTTGTATGATGTATTATATATTTATGTAATCTTATTTAGTCTTTTTACTAAAATACATTTTTACAAATAGAAKCTATTTCATGTAACAATAATATATTGATTATTTATCTATAGTTTGCCTTGAATTTGTAATTGCATTTTAAWTAAATGTTTACATGAATTCCCAAGTCCAAATATCTCTATTTAAGGACAAAATGTCTCATTCAAGAGTATACGAGTCCCGAAAATACTTGAATACGGAATTTTCGAAAKTTTTCATACTGAACACTCTAGAATTCRTCTCGTGATCAATAATATGCGTAACGCATACCACACGTGCACGAATTTTCATGAGTATTCAAGCGTGTTCGTGTTGTCATTTTGCGAACTMATCTKAAATTTAGTCCAGAAAACGYTGCGTATTAGAGATTTTACAATCGCAAACTTCGCGTTTCCAGAAATATTCAACCGTATTCAATAATAATATTTGTTATCACCCGGCAATATTCGGGGATATACGACTTGAAAACGGAAAAACAGCATGTATTCGAGTCGAGTGTTCATATTCGAGTCAATTCGATTCGAAAATTCGCCTTTTTGCACAGTGTGTGAAATTGGAAAATTCCTAAACCAGGGCAAATGCCCGTGTAGGAGATGCAAACTTGTAGGACAACAGGGTGAGGCATCATCATTACTATTATGGAAACAATAGATACCACACTYGCTTTCCTTGTGAAGAGAGAGACATCAGCAATGAACAACAAGCTTTGTATGACCTTGATAATGAAACAAGAAAAAGTGTGTATAAGCTTTATGGTTTTGATATTTTGCATCTTATGATTTATGATGTTTTTCACACAGTGCCACWAAACTTATGTAAAAACCAGATCCAAAGATTGATAAATTTAGAGCTGGTTGATATAACATACCTTGATGAGCAGTTACGTAATTTTCCTTGGACACCTGAACTCAATTAAAGGCGCTGAATCAGCGCATGTGCCTACTACGAATGTATGCAGATTGTAAGTGCTTTAAGTCTATGGAACACAAATATTGAGCCTCGCACAGCCTTCATTTTGGTACTGTACTGTTGATGAGCAACAACAACAACAAAAAGAAAGTGCAGAATATCGTTAGGTATTTTTATTAATAACAATAGAAGGCACTTTTTATTGGATACAAAGTAATAAAGTGCGAACAATATCTCCATGAAATAAAATCTAAATAATAGTTTAAGTCACCATTTTGGACAATGGAAGTTCTAACTAGGCATTGTTTGATCTTGTTTCTTTAATAGAATACATTCATTAGAGTTTTGTTTCTGTTTTGTTTGTTCATGCGTGAAGTTTCAGAACCAGTGTTTGGTTGAGCTTTATCTGACTGTTAGGAGCAATTTCGTCTGAAAGAAAGACCTAAAACTTACTAATAGAACTTTTCATTACACCGAATATTGGGATATGAAAGCTTTGACAAAGAAGAACTAAGGCAAAATATACTCACAAAAGTAAACGTACCTCGCAAACTTTTACGGCAGTGAATACCACGAGAAATTTTCACGAACTTGTTCGTAAAACCGCAGAGATGATTGAATTTTCGGCGGTCATTCGCACTAAGTTATATGTTCTGCCGATCGCTTCCGAGGGCTTCCTGTGTTTATGGGTCTTCCGAAGGGGTATTGATTGAATTTTGACGTCATTCCATTGTTACTTATTCATTTGCATTAGACACGATAACAAAGTGTCTACTACTTCGTAGTAGGCACAAAAATGGACGAATTCCTATACCAATTGGTAAAGATGCAAAAGGTCTCCGATTTTGGAAAGCTGAAGCCTTACAGAAATTTGCATACCCAGTTCTTGAAACCATTTTGGATGATCATGTGAATTCCACAGATTTTCACAGTGGACGTGATGGGTGGATTGATGATATGATACATACACACAAAAAAATGGCTGAAAAATTAAATGTGAAGATTGAAGAARCACAAGGCTCAGAGATGTGTACCATATCAGTTCACAATATGAAGCATATCCATGAAGATATAATAAACTTTTCTTCTACTGAMAACTACTGGTGTGCTGTGTTTGAAYGGTYCRTSAAAGATTATGTACAAAGGTCACATAATTGTAAAGGATTGGAAGTTACTTTTGCAAAGGCTGAAGCCAGAAGGGAATTTCTCAAAAGTCTGGATGTACAAAAAGATGCTCATTATCCAAATGCCAATCAGTT